ATCGCTGTGCCTCTATCTACATAATCCTCTCACTCTGTGGCTTGGGGCTAACTCTCCCATCTCTAGCATGCCTCTACAATGGGGATAATATTTAATGACGAGTGAAGATTTGATTAATGTTAGTGATGAGCTTGCACAAATGGAGCTCATTTATTTCCAAGCTTATTTCAGTAGAGGCTGCTGACATTCTGGGTTTTTTCACATTCTAAGGCATCATAGTTGAGAAAAATGCTTTGGACTATTTTTACGGAGAGGGGTGAGTCTGGAATCCACTGGTGTCTTGTTTTTGTGCAGCTGCAATAAGTACAGTACTATGGTTCTGGATTGCAGGCAGGGCTAGAACACCCCGTTTCTCCAAGGACACTCCTGCCCGTCCCACCTTTCCATACTCCTGCCTGACATTGTTCTGCTTGGTGCCCAGGCCTTTGTATTTCCTGCTTTTTCAAGCATCTCTTTTATAAGAAATTGAGTATTTGGATTTGAAAAGCCATCCAGTGAGAATATATTTGATGTCTTCACAATTGAATTCTTAATCATATATGAGTGTATGGATGCTTGTCCACACCCTCAAATAAATACAAAAAATAGAGGTCCTGTCTGGACTCTGGAGCCTTCCTGCCTTGTTTGAACCCTGACTTGGCACCAATACTTTAGACAAGTTGCTTAGTAGCTCTGGGTCGCAGCTTCCTGGTCTCCTACATGGGGATGAGCACTGGCCTATCTCAGCAGATTTTCATGAGTTCTAAATGAGTGAACATATGGAAAATGTTAGAGTACTTGGTGCTATGTCAGTGACAGTGATGATTAAACCAAAGCTGTATGAGTTATATGCAATTTGGAGTAACTGTTAGGAAAAAGGATTTTAGATTGCTGCATTTTGAAGTATTTTTCCATGTCTTCACAGTAATAAATAAAAAACAACTCCAAGTCACAGTTCTGGTTGGAAAGGATCCGCTTTAATTAGCGAAAACATCTAATGCAACTTCCCCAAAAGTTCAGAGAAAGTATAAAGTTATTCCATTGTGTATGTAGCAGGAAAAGTAGTCATGTGAACATTTTGTTTATGCCAAGCACTGTGTTGCATGTTAGCCACTTAGGGCAATTAAGAATCTTTTTTTTCCTCTGTCTATTTTATAGAGAAGTTTGGAGAGGTGAAGCAACTTGCCAAGCTGGGAAGTGACCCCATACTCTGGGGATTCCTGAGCCACCGGCCCTCCTCCTACACTGCAGGAAGACTCTGCCTTCCTAATAGCTACAGGCAGTTATTTCGCTTTATCATCTTAATCTCAGCCTCTCTTAGGGTTGATAGTAGGTCTAGTAATACGTTTCCTTTTAAAGGCAGTCTTAACGTCTGCTTCTGAAGCAGTGCACCCAAAATAAGGAACCAAGTTTGTCTTTTTTTTTGGTTTCAATAGTTTGGACAAGCTTCCCTGTACAAAACTCTCCTTGTTCTAGCTGAACAACAACCAAAAATCTTCGCTGGGTTGATAGGGAAACACCTGAGTGAGCCAGAGCAAGCATTTCCCGGGTCTTCTAACTTCAGGTTGTTCAAAATTCCTCCTGAGGAAGGACACCAGAACAGATGAAGGTTCAGTGTTTCACATCACATGCGTCTCCAATATTTGAGAGGGTAATTTTGAACTTCTCTTTCTTGTTATTCTTGGACCACAGGGGTGAAATTATTCAAGTGTCATAGTAGACATGGAATTATACAACATTTTATTCTTTGGCTTCTGATGGCAGAGAGCTGTGGACTGAGTTTTGTTGTCTTTCCTGCAAGGAACTCTTAGTCATAGCATAATCCAGAGTCCACATTTACACTAATTGAGAGATAAGAAAAATTGACAGCATGACTGAGCTCGGTCTTGTACTTCAGAAGGATTAGTAAATAAACTGAATCATAAATATTTTATTATTTTGTTCACAGAAGCTGGAAAGTCCCCAATAAGTGATTCTTTTTAAAATATTATCTCCCATGCTATAAGTTGTTTATCATCAATTATTTAGACTCCTAATATTGTTACAGAATTTAAAAAGAAGAAGAAAAATACCTACTATAGAAAACTGTAATTTTATTTAATGGAAAAGCATGCTCTTACTTTTCTTATTCTTCTAGAAGAAAATGTTCCACTGAATAATTGATGCTTGTAAAATAAAACTTGTGTTTTTATGATATTGGAATAGCATTCATTATCTAAGTGAAAGACAGCTTCAAATACTATTTTTATGTAATAAACATTTTGAGCATATGAAAATTCAGCCAACTTGATTGTTCTGTGGTGAAGTTCAGACTACAAATTGTACAGAACCACAAATAACTGCAGATTATAGAATTAATAATGATATGCAAATCAGTATCTATTAAGAACCATGTAAACTTTTTTCCCCTGATCTTGTTCAAATAAAATAGTATGGTAAAACTGAGAAGTTAAGTATAGTTCAAGATGATAAATATGTTATTACCCTTGGGGGCTTTATAAAAGAATTGAGACAAATATGTTTGTAATTTTTCTTTATGAAATACATTTTTATTTTGTATAAAATGTGAAATGCATTATTTTTCATGACAGAGGGACAAAGTAAAAAGTTTCTGTTCTATTTCATATTCTGGATTTGAAGTTCATAATGCTGTCAATAATGTATATGCTTAACTCAAAATGATATAAATCTCCTCTTGATCAAATTGTTTTGTCCCCATTTGCCATTGTTTTACCTGTTACTGGAGGAATTTCTGTGATGTCATTAGATCAGCCTTTATGAAATTCTGTATGTGGGGAGCAAGACTTCCATTTTCATTTGGTGTTAGGCATACATCATTTTCTGGAAGTTAGAAAACACTGACTTAATGAATTAACTGAATAATGTTGGAATTTTGAGTGTGATTCAATTGATAAAATGAGTGTTCAGAAGATGTGGTTGGGTTTAAGTGATTAAATGGTTGACTTTAGTCTTAGGAAGGCATGCTTCCCTGAAGAAGCCCCTACATGTGTGGATTTGGTTAAGGACCACTCAGAAAACTAGGATCCCCGTATTTGCATGAAAAAGAAGACAGATTCTTAACTGGGGCAATCTTGATCCCATTGTGGGTCTTAGTTCTGCCTGTGAGTAGCTGTGTGACAATGAGTGAGTCACTAGGTTCTTCTGGCATAAATTTACTAGTATGTAAAATTAAAACATTGAGCTGAAAGCCCCTTCTAGTAACATTTCTGTGATTTTAAAGTGGTGGGTATCTTAAGCATGGCAAAAACTGTATCACTCTGTTTTCATAAATCCTAGAATTTAATCAACATTTACGAACTCCTTTCATTTATTAGTTATGTATTATATATAGTATATACATACATATATATAATATGTAATCATACTCTTGGAAAGGTTGTAATCAGCACTTCAGAACATTTTAAATACTGATCAGATATTTCAAAAGAAATTTCAATCTAAAAAAATAAAAAAGCAAATTTCAACCTGAACTCTTAAAAATATATTTTAATTTTAAAATATTTCTCTTTTTACTCTTACTAGTTCTAACAATTGCTGGATAATCCATTGTTGTGTAAATGTGTTTTATTTTTAAAAAAGATTTATTTTTATTTATTTATGTATATGAGAACAGGGTAGGGGGTGGGGTGCTGGCCAGAAGTGCCAGGAGCAGGGTATGTGTGAGAGGATTCACCAGAGACAGAGTGGGGACAATTCTACTGAAATACACTGCTGAGGGCAGCAGCTGGCACAGGAGAGGATTGCTGTACCCTGTGGGTCAGCTAACTGTCTTGGAAATGAACTGGTCTGTAGTGGCAGGTGATGGCTTGATAGTGCTGAGACTTGATAGTGCTTTACCACCAGGGAGGACCCTGAGAAAAGGTGTTTTAATATACTTCAATTTACTCTGTCCATTGGACAATCGAGGGTCTCTGCCCTTCAGTTTTGGCGGAGAGTTAGGAAGATGGAAGTGGGCTTTTGTGATCATGGTATCACACACATCTTTGCAGGCAAAAAGAGCTCATGCATGTAGGACCTCTCTTGTGACTGCTGTATTTAAAGGACATTTTGCTGCTGCCATTAACAAAAGGACTCTGGTGAGTGGAGCAGAGGAAGAGTAAGAACTGGAAGAACTTTCCTTTTGTTGTTGCCAAGCAGGGCAAATAGAGGTCGTGGGGAGTCCAGCATTAAATAACAAAGCTAAACAGAAAACAGGGTTCTGAAAGCCCTTTGGATGCTCTGCTGCCCTGCCACACTACACCTGGCATTTGATCATTCGGGAAGGTCAGTGATCTTTAGCCTCTGATACTGAGCTTTGTCTGGTTCAGAGAACACAGCTCCTTGCCCTCTCCAGAGGGGAGACATTCTCAAAGGACAGATGTTCCCGCAGCAGTGAAACATCCACAGAGAGAATTAGCTAATCCTACTTCATGAAAAACTGCGGCACTTTTCTTTTAATTCAAGATCTTAGAAATTTTCAACCCATCCTTGGAGGATGATAGTTTGTTCATTTGTTCCTATTAGATTTGCTACCCTTTATCAAGATTAAGGAAACATGACCGACACATTCCCCTTCTGGTCTGTACTCTCTGCTCCCTCAGTGGGTATTGTTGCGCCTTCTGCGTGTGTGGGTGAATTGTTTGCAATGCTTGTGCCACAATTCTGACTTACACGCTATTAAGCAAGTAAGGGAATAACTGTGTTGCTGAAATTGGGGGGTAATTGGTTGTTTACTGTAGTTAATGACAGCTGTTTGAAGTTAAGTCAGGTTAAATTGGATTTGATCAAGGCATTTTTAGTCAATCTAAATTACTACATAGAAAAAAGAGGGAATTATAGAAATTATGTGTTCATTTTAGTTTTCACTCATCTATAGGTCATATAGGAATGAGGAATTGCATATAGGTCAGTATTTTGAGAGGTTAATTTGAGTAAAACCAGTTTACTTCATCTCATACATGTATTTCTCAGCTTTGGGAGTTACAGCCTACAATTTTTCAAACTTTTTTTTTTTTTTCCAGGTTCTAATTACATTGCCTACTGGTTGTTTTCTGAAGCTCAAGGAGATGCCCGTGAGAGAATGGTAAATTCTTTTTTAGTTTCCAGTAACGGAGTAAAAGTAATTACTAATGATTTTACAATATGGTACCAGAGACTAATAGAAATAGCAACAAATGAAAAGCTGAGAACTTTGAGTATTTTCACTTACACATAAAAAAACTGGTACCAAATTTATTTAGTTAGGTGACTGTCTTTAAACAAAGTGAAGCATATCCTTCTTAAGGAAGCCTTCCTAGGTATAGGTAGATCTATGCTTAATATGTGACAGCATTTAGCAATTTAGTCCTTTTTTTAGACCACCTCCCTGGGCATGTCTTCTGTGCCTGTTGAGTGTGATATCCCCACATTTAGAGAGAGAATATAAGATTTTCCAAGATATAAATTGTAGAAAGACATCTAAAGTGAAAAGACTCATTTTAATCACACATACATTTGACAAAACTTGAAACAGCTGTTTTTGCCCTTCCCTAGTTTCAGCTCTTTGAGCCCCCTGGCCACTGCTGGCCTCAGCTTGATAAGAACCGTTCTTTCTTAGACTCAGCTCCACGAACATTTTCTCTCTTTAGACTGTGACCCTGAAGCTGGTGCTCCTCATTAGGCTAGAACTCTTCGCCTACCTGGGACTGTATTTCTCTTGTGCTGTGGTGCTCAGAGGATGGGGTGGGGTGGGGTGGAAGGAGGGGGGCTTAGAATGTTGAGGTGAGGTGAAGGGATAGGCACAGGCAAAGTGCACCCTGTGACAGGCTTCTCGTGAAGGTGTCAGTGCAGGTGAATGGGGAAATGATGGGGGGACTGGGTGGAGGTTCTTAGAGAGGAATGATAAGGCTTTCTGAGGTAGTGAGAACATTTTATTAAATTAAAAGGGAGAAGATTACCAAGAGTTGATAGGCTAATGTTTGATTATAAATCTTAATGTGACTTTTGAACCCCACTTCCTCTGTCAGCCTAGCACCTACAGTATCTAGCAGTCCTGTGGCCAAACCTTCCCAATTGCTATTCTGTAGGGATGGCAGGAGAATATAGCAATCACACTTGAGGTCAAGCCCAATGTAACTTTTTTAGAAATGTCTAAATACCTCATGGCCCTATAGATAATACTTGAAACTACTAGGCACATTCATTTGAGTTTTAACAAAGATTTATGTTTGTTTCCTCATCAGGACTACCTTATCCAACAAGAATTAGTTTCTCCTTCTCAATGCAGAATTACTTTGGTCTTACCTTATATCACTGGTTTGGCTCCTTTAGTTCAGTGAGAGAATTCACCAGAGACAGAGTGGGGAGCAGAACGGGCAGAGTGATGAAGTACACTGCTGAGGGGAGCAGCAGGTGAGACAGGAAAGGTCTGCTGTGTCACGTGGGTCACCTCCCAGGCTGGGGATCCAGCTCACACTGAAGGGGCTATGGCAGCTTACAGTGCTGCACCTTAACTCGGTGCACCAGCAGGGAAGGCCCCTGGTTCCTTTAGTTCTGTGTGGGAAAGTCTTCTCACTTCTCACTAGAATAGTGAGAATAATAGCTCCTTGAGGCAAAGGATTTCTTTGTTTTGTTTGCTGCTTTATACAAGCACCTAGAACAGTATCTGGTACATAGTAGGTACTTGATAAACAATTACTTAATGAGGTAATAAATGATTCTTCCTGACTAACCAGAAGTTCCTTGGGGTGGGGGCCAAGGTATAGGATTCTTCACCCATGATTCTTTGGGCTGAGATAGCAGTCTCATTCTTCTATCACTGCTCTTCTGTGGGGTGAAGTGTCCTATCTTATTTTCTCTCTGGGAAGGGCTGAGGAGGGGTCACTATTTTGGTGATTAAAAGTTAAGCTGTACCTGTTGGCTACTCAGTGCATAAAAGGTTCTTTCCAAGTCCTTGCAGGTGAAATGTGGAAGGGAAGTAAAAATCAAGAGCTCATCTTGGTGTTCATGCAAGACTCTTACTTGCTTCCTCCACCAGGCTCTTAGAAACTGTCTCTGATAGGCTGGTGGGGTGCAGGAAGGGTGTGTGCTGGTTGTCACCACCAGACTTCCTGTGCGGTCATGGCTGGGAGGAAGTCTGTAGCAAGTCACATGGAAGCAGCACATCTGTCCCTGATAGCAGGGTAAGGTGGCTGGCCTGTGGGCTGTTTTCCAAGCCTGGTCCTTCTCAGAAGCCTTGCTTCTGTTTAAACAAATGAATGTACACAAGAGGTTCAGAAAGAGAGAGCTTTATTGCAAAGGGCATTTTATTTGAAGCAATAAGAAGTTTGCCTGATGGAAGAGTCAAATAATTCTTATGATCTTATTAGATCTTATATCTTTGAGGTAAGTTTTGGTTTCTTCTGACTTCACCTTCCAAGTGATAATCAGGAGGAGTTAGGTAGACTTTTCCAGAACCTCTATGCTAAGGGAGTTTATCTGGAAAGGAAATTTTAGATAGGAAGATTTTAAGGCAATAAATGTTGCCTTTTGTCTAGTTGAATAATTTTGAGCTAGTGATGAGATGTTAATTTATTGAGAACATAGATTTGTGCTCCTTCTCTCACACATGCAGAATCCCCCCCCACACACACATATGCAGTCCACTATGACTTTAGCACTACTGTGCCTTTGTATGCTGGCTTTGTGTGAAGTAGCTAGAGTTTTTCCATCACCAGGTATTTTATAAATACATTCGGTAGCACCTAATCATTGCTGAACTATTTTCCCTCTTCTACACAAGCCCTAAATCTTGCCTTCCAGCCCATCTTCATTGGCTAAGCTCTTTTACTCCAGCAGACCTCTATTCTTCTGTCACCTCTTCCCAATTTTACCTGTCAAAATCTTATTTCCTAAAATGTTGGTTGCAAATGTAGTACTTCAGCATGCCCCACCTTTGGGTGAACTCTCCGGTTTCAGCACTGCAGTGCTCTGCACAGAGCCTTTGCCTCTTGCCCTATGACCGCAGTCATGAGGTGAGCCCAGCAGTGAATTCCTACACATACTACCTTTCTCTGTGCCTTGCTGTTCTTGAACCTTGCACCAAACTTGGTCACTCTTTAAAAGTGCATGTTACGGCCCTCCCTGGTGGCGCAGCGGGTTAAAGCACAGCACTGAGAATCTAAAGCCGCTTCCACATGAGTTCAATTCCCACCTGCCCCAGGAGGTGACCACATGGTGTGGCAGACCTCTCCTGACCCGCCCACTGTTCTCCTCAGCAGTGTACTTCATCGAGCTGCCTGTTTTGTTCCTCACTCTGTCTCTGGTGAAACCTCTCACCACCCCAGAGCCTCTGGCCTGTACCCCAGTTCTGTATGCACAAATAAATAAATCTTAAAAAAAAAAGTGCATGTTACTCTACATTGTTTAAATCTTTGGCTCTAGACTCTGGGCTAAAATCCAGAGCCTTAGCCTGGCCCTTCGGTCCCTTCCCATGTAGACTTCTATCTGGTATTGAGCCACACATAATTACTGTCAGCACTCTGAAAACACTAGGCTTGTGCTCAACATCTGACCTTGCACATGCTGTTCCCACTACCCTAAATGGCTGTTGAGTGAGGTGTATCTGTTGGGGGTGGACGAATTCCAGATCTTACTAGCAAAACTCCCTACTAGAACATGCACCTACTGTGTGGTTTAGTGGATTTCTATAAAAGTGGGGCTGGACTCGAGCATCAGCACATAGGTGTTTAGAAAGTGTCTGACTTTGTGGTTACTCATCCTTAAACCTTCAGTGCTTTTGATTTTAAATTGTTGTTCTGACAAAATTTGTGGTAAGGAAATCCTGCCTGATTCATGGGGGTTGGAGCATGCACATTGAAGTTGTTATTCTTTCCTAAAACGTGGTTTTATTAGGTAATTCCATCCTCACAGGGCTTTGCCATGTGCATTTATCAGAGTGGAGAATTCACTATGTTAGTGAAGCAAGATAACCCCTCTGTTGCTGACAGAGAGCTATAAACCCCGGCGTTCTTAGTTTTATATTTGGACAGCTACAAGAAAACTGCACCTGGGGGTGGCTGTGACTTCAGTGTCGGTCAACTCAAGATGCCCTTTCTGGAAAATGTGAAAGTAGAATTATTGAGAAGCAAAAGGCAGGAGGAAGGGCACTTGGTTTCAATATTTACCAAACTTTTAAATCTACTGCATTTGTTATTTCCCTTTGGACAAAGCTTGTTCTCTGTACTCAGGTAAATTCTATGCATTGTGTTGGACACATCTTCTCCAGAGAATAGTCTCTCTGTCTCTTAACTTACATGTGACACGAGACTGCCATTCACTATTGCAGGAGTCCAGCAAGATTCGGTCCTGTTGTCTCCAGATGAGGTGGACTGTGGCTTGACTATGGGTCTCTTCCCTAACAGGACTCATGACTTCCCAGTGCCACTATCCTATTCGTCACTAGTTTCCTTTCACTCACAGACTAGGGGCCTAGGTGGAATGATTGTAGGCTTTTCTTGTGCATTTGGTTGAAGGTGTAGCATTATGTTATGAGCTTGGAGAGAGCACCAAGCATGAATGAGCTGCTAATGGAGTTTGCCTAAGAGTACAAATGACAGCACTCAAGTGGAAAGTTATTCTCCCCCACTGGAATGTAACTCGTAGTAGCAAGGAAACTGCCCCCTAGGCATCCTGTTTAGTGGCACCAGTATTATCTTGGGTTAGGCGAGGCCAAGATCTCCTGACAGAATGTCTTCCTTGGCTTGGGAACATTGTAGTATGTGGCAGAGCAAAGTAACAAGAGAAATGAAAATTGTCCAGCATTTACCCTTCTCATGCCTAGAAGCAATACTTGGGGATGGAGGTGATAAGTATACACCTCTTTTTGGCATTCATGTTCAAGCCAAGGATACCAGTTGAGCTGAGAGGCAAAGAGAAGAGAGAGAGCATTTGTAGAATAGGGTGTTAGGTGTCTGGGGCCCTCACATGGAGAGAGATTCAATACAGTTCTGTCTCTTTCATTCAGTTTAAATTTTTTTCACTTGAAATTAAAAGTGTAATACAATTAAATAGCAGTTATTAAATATTCATTTGATGAAGGAATTTTCTAAGCCTTTGTTTTGAAAT